GTACTAAAAGTTTGTATTGAGGAAGAATAAACTGGTTTAACCAAGAAAGGATTTGTATTGCTGAAAATCCTCGGAAAGAATTTCTACCGCAAACAAACAAAGAAGCAGATATGTAACAATAGTTTATATAGTCATAGAGTATTTATATATATATCTCTGCATAAAATTATCAGGTTACCCGTTGTTTGTTTAAATAATATACATTCACTTGTTAAAACATGTTCAAAACACATTACCCCTTCGGTATCCTTGTGCTTAAACAACAAACAAACACTTGTAATTATTATGCCCATCTAAAAGCTGTAGACATTTTAGACGTATTTAAAAATACATAAAAAATTTGACAGTTGTCAAGAAAATGGCTAATTAAGTGAATTTGTCAGTAATTGAGAATTACAATATTTACTTCATCGTCTGGTGGCGCATAAGTTCCTAAAAGTTATTGTAACTATAACGTATTATTAACAATTCAAGCTTAACTGCAGGCATGTTTTATTACACCCCTTTAACACTTGAATAAGCTTTACAAATTTCCACCAGAAGCATTTAGAATACTACTCTTATCTATTACTTGATAATAAATACTGAGGATAATGCGTTTTTATACAATACTAGAGCTCATAATATAGGGAGGTGAAATGTGTTACATACAGCACTGGAATTCACTAGTTGTGGGAGAGAGGGGTAAAATTCTATTTTTAAGATCACATGTAGAAAAATGTGATGAAAACAAGAGTGAATCTTCAATAGCCGCGGCACTTGAAATTATTTTACGCAAGATTAGAGTAAATTAATCTCTGAGACCTTTTTTCCCTATTTATTAGATGTATTTTTGTGCGCCAGCAATACCAAGCGTGGGGCGCGCGTATACCAGATTTGATTTTATTACTCATCAGGATCTCTGCCAGCCTACCATCAAATTGAAGTTCATTTAAGCAAGATTAGGGTAAATTAATCTATGAAGCATTAGGGTAGTGAAATATATCAGTAGAAATGGTTTGACCTCCTGAGTCCAAAACTGTAATTAGATCTCAATTCGGTGAAGATATGACGGAGCTATGAACTAAAAGTTTGTTCTTGGAAAAAAACATCTGCAGTTGGCCAAGACGTTTCTTTGCATTAAAATACATAGCAATATTAATCTTGAGTTGTTTAAAAAGGTTATAGTTTTTATTAAGTAATGTTTATAACAGACTTTGTATTGTGTTTTCCAGACATTTGTAAAGGGTGGATTGGCCTAGATACAAGACACCAAGAATTTTCAGGGTTGCTTTGTGCCAAATACGCTCAAACCAGACCTTTTCCTCCTGTTTAAAGAAAATATTCACCGAATGTTTCAGTTTTGAGATTTGAACACAATAAGATTTTGTTTGTTTGTTTGTAATTAAGCACAAAGCTGCACAATGGGCTACCTGTGCTCTGACCAGACATACCGTTGTGCCACTGGGGGGCACACAATAAGAGATTTGCTTGTTAAAATCATAATCCTGAAGATGACGTTGTAACGTCGAAACATGTAGAGTCGTCAACTTTTTGAAAGCCATAGATAGGCCTAAATAAAATGTTTTTTATTGTGGAACAGTTTAATGTTGAATATTATTGTTACGTCTCTGGTCCTTTGTTAATTTCCCGTATAATTTCTTTCCGAGAAACTTCAGCGATACACTTAATTTCCACAGTCACTTTAACTTAAACACACACTATAATTCACAATGAACAATTCACGCACTTTACTTACTACCACGCTTGACTCAATTGTCCGTCTCTATCTGTCTGCAATTATCTATATCTATCTATCTATGCCGTCACTTCTCGCCAGTCTTATATATAAAAAATAGAGGGCGTATCTAGCAAACGTTAGGATGGTCGACAGGTTCCTCGATCTTTCTAAAACTCCAGCGCATGCTCCCAGCATCGCACGACTTCTGCTGTCATAACACTGCCCCTTCCTTAGTATTGTTCATCTCGAACAATAGCCACTTACATTAAACCAATAGATAATTAACAATAACGTGATTAAATGTACATAATTTACAAGCACAAAATTAAAATGGGATGTATCTTTTTCCGTACTGGTTTCCATCTCGTTGGCTTCTGCTTCATGTGGGGTTCATCTGCTCCATCAGGAATTGTCCTATCATTGGTAACAGTCACATCAGTGGTAGTAACTTCATCAAGGGCTTCACTGTTTCCCTTCTCAAAACTGGGTACAGTTTCTTCTTCGACAGTGGCTTTTTCAGGTGACACGTCTTCAGTGGCGTCTTTTGTTCCATTGTTCACTTCGTCCCAACTGAAATGTCCTGAACCGTGATAACGCCAAAGCCTGTGGGCATGCACCACCATTGGCTTACCTCGCCGACCACATTTTATTCGGAAAGTCACGTCTGAGAGACGATCCACTATGTCATATGGGCCTTCCCATGGAGAAGACAACTTCGGAGATTTCCCTTTGATTTTCCTGGGATTATACAACCACACCTTGTCTCCTGGTACAAAGCTGACTTCAATAGACTTATCATAACATAGCTTCATCGAATCAGCAGACGTTTTCAAGTTTGAACGCACTTGATGGTGAATATCACCCATCCTTTTAGATAACACTTTCACGAACTCTGACAAATTTTCAGGTAAATCTTCATAAGGTGAGCGTCCTGTTATCAGATCCACTGGCAACCGAAGTTCCCAATCAAACATCAACTTTGCTGGAGTGTATCCACTGGTTTCATGCTCTGCTGTCCTATAGGCCATCAACAGTGGAGGAAGTAAGACATCCTAGTCATCTTGGTGTCTATTACAAAACTTTGCCAATTCCTGT